AAGATAAAAAATGATACTGAAAATGATAATAATAATAATAATAATAATAATAATAGCAATAACAACAACAATAATAATTATTATTTAAACAATAATGATAATAATTGCAAGATGGCGAGAAAAAGTCCTCAGCAGCTATCAAAAGATGTTCCTTTCATACCACGTTCAGGATTCCAATGGACTGATAACAATCAAGTTTTAGTCGAGGTATAATGATGAATAATAAAGCATTATCCTTGTCATAATAATTTAAATGCTATTAATAATAATATCAGTGATGATAACCGTTACAAATAAACGAATCAATCTCAGGATGAACAGTTCGTAATATATGATGCATACTGGAATGTGCCCACATTCAAAGGGAATCGCGACGATTATTTCACTAACCTGTCAAGGGATATGATCGGCATTACGATCAAAACTGACGCTTTGATTCTGGTTTATACTTCCTCTAATACTATTCAGGTTTACTACTTTTATCACTATTATCATTGTTATCAATCGTACTATTATTATTTTTATCATTGTAAGTGGTAAACTGTTGATAAGAATATGTAACTAGCAATAAACAATAATCATAACAATAATACCAATAATAATTATTATAATGTTGCTAATAATAAGGAATTAAAATTGAAGATATATGATGCAAAAAGACGTCGAGTGATGCAAGAGTATCCGATTGAGGTGCACAAGTTCGTTGGTTGTTTAAAAGAGTGAATATGATTTGATACGATACGATTTGATATGATAAAATAACGGCATTCTGTTCATAATAGATATTATTTATTATTGCATTTGGTTGTGTTTTCTGGTTTGTTAGGATCGCAATTGTTGTGTTATCGCATACGCATAAAAGTGCCACTTCCAAAAACTGAAGCTTTGATGGACTCAAGTTTAGTCGTTGATCGGTTTCGATTATATTTCAACTGCTCCTCAGCAGAACCTTATGAGGGTATCTTTGACAGCTGAGGCACGTTTAAGTTCAGTTGAAGAGTCCGATGAACGTTGGTGCTGTTGGAAATGGTGCTCTCATATCAGAGCCTTTCTTAAGTGTTTATTCAATTTTTCATTTTAATGTGTTCTTTTGCACGATTTTATTTATAAATATACGTTACTATTCATTACAAAATTATCAGTGTTAAAATTATTACTACTGCTACTGTTATTGTTACTATTATTNATATCAGAGCCTTTCTTAAGTGTTTATTCAATTTTTCATTTTTATGTGTTCTTTTGCACGATTTTATTTATAAATATACGGTACTTTAATTATAAAATTATTTATGTTAAAATTATTACTACTGCTACTATTATTGTTACTATTATTGCTGTTATTATTGCTATTATTATTATTATTATTAAGTTTATTGTTATTATTATTATTACTCTTATCAGTGTTATTGTTATCACTAAAACAGTTATTGTTTGAATGTTCGTATTGGGAATTTGAATACACTCGGTTATTTCACATTTCTTCAGAGGTTGTTAAATTCTAAAGTTTGATCTTAACGTGTTGATCTTGTAATCAGAGATTGATATTCTTTAAAATTGAATCCGTCAACATATAATGCTTATCGCTCATTGAACAATAAATGCTTTATGCACAAATCTACATTCATTTATTTTATATATATTCCATCATTTGCCAACTTACAGAAAACAGCAGAAAACAACACAAGTGAACTGTATGGTCATCGCAAATAAATACTAGAACTTCAATAGTAATACAATCGCANTCGCATGTGCCATCTGACCGTTATCACAATGAATAAAACCTTTATCCGTGCTTAATGAAATTGTATGATGCACTCTCCATAAACACTAGCCCCTTGAAGAATGTTATCACCATTGACACCTGAGCTATAAATAACGTTTTTGGTTCCCAAAAGTATCACAGCAACATTCAGCAGCTGAAGCTAAGTCTGCACAAGACTGTTTTCCGGCTCCGGATTGCTCTAGAGCAGGAGCAGAGCAGAGAAAATTTCGGAATTGGAGCTAAAGCTAGAGCGGGTAGCTGAAATTTTGCAGAATGCTGAAACAGAGTTGCAGCTAAAAATTTTAAAATGCGTAATCGGAGTGCGTAACCACAAGTACAACTTGTACATTTCTAAAATTTTAACATTGTTAAATTCAAGGATAGTTTTCAATGGAAATCGATCAAAGTAATGAAAACACATTCAGGTACTCACAAAATGACGAATTAATTTCAAAAAGATGATGTAAGAGCGTCAGAACATTTGATTCAATAAACTGAATCCT